GAAGGAAAAGAGCAGCAGGACAGGGGAAACCTGATGAGCTCAGCCGGGAGCAGGAAAAGGACACACAGGCACCCAGGGGACACTTATCCCAAGCAGCAGCAGGGTGACAACCTAAGGACAGAGATTCATTAATTTATGAGAACAACTACAGGGCAGGGCCCTGGCAATTACAGGGACTAAAGCCAGAACCCAAAGGGACTAATACAGAAGGACCTCTTAGTCTACACCCAGAATGTTCTCGGAGATCTCTTCCCTACATAAACCAGGAACAATAACTACAGCTACATCAGTTATATATAGCCAGACATTGAGTTGACAAAGCCTGGCACAGAGCAACAGCCTGCTCAAATGAAAAGCTTCCTACCCTCACTGCAGGCATCGGGATGAGGAATGGCTTTGCAGTAGCCACCCTGCTTCCCAACTGCTCTGGCTCTGAAGCATCCTTCCTGGATTTAATACCCTGTGTTCCCAGGAGGGCTGGCAGCTCACCTGCCTTCTGTTTGTTACAGGATTGATGCATCAGCCCCACAGTCAGCATTTCCCATTCTTTCCCAGTGGGTTTAGGCCATACAGATCAATTCTATCTCCAGCTTTCCTTTCTTGCCCTTACATGAGGAACTCCGCAAGCTCCCACGCTGAACAGAGCCACGTTGTGTAACAGAGGCAGAAACAGGACAGTTCAAAAACAGAGAAAGAAAGCAGAAGTTCCCTTCTCTTTGCAGCAGCAGTTTTACTGCCTCATGTTAACTCTGCTCCTGTTACAAGCCTGTCCCAAGGTGCTTTAGAACCCCAAGCAAGCACGTGTGCCTTTAGACTTTCATTAACCCTACTGCTCTGAACCTCTCCCCCCAGTGCTTATCTCTGTAGCCCGTGCTGGTATGACAAAGCACTTGCTTTCCTACTGCTGCCACAAGCCAGCAATGTAAAACTCCTCCACATTTAATAATTGATCCGATGAAGTTCAATATTAAAGGAGGAACAGAGAGAGAAGTCACCTATATCCACATGGAGCAGGATGGAGAATCCCAGTGAGCCCTGGTGCGTTAGTTAACTAAGTAGGAATCCCTCACGTACAAGTGACTTGATGTTCACGGCTCGGTGCAGCTGGTGGAGGAGATCCTCTTGGCTGCTCATGCTCCCCCTGAGATCACACAGCCCCACCTGCAGCTCCTTCCCTTCTACCCAGTCCTTGGCACCACAAGTTCCTGGTTTCACCTTGGCTCCCGCAGCTGCCCAAAACAACCCTCCCAGCTGTGTGTCCATTGCAAACAACTCACACTCCACCTTCTTTGATCAGGGATCAGCAGGAGTTCGGACGCTGGGATCGCGGCTGATCCTGCCAGCCCTCCTCTGCCCCCTCCCAGCTCTGCAAGGAGGGCACGTGCCATTCCTCTCCATTTACACAGCTTGGAGCACCCTGCTCTCGTGGAAGGTGTCCCTGCCCATGCAGGGGGTTGGAACGGGATGAGCTTTAAGGTCCCTTCAACCCAAACCACTCAATGATTCTCTTGCCCTGCCCAGAACAAGCAGCAGATATTCCACGTGTTCCCTCAGCATCCCTCCTGCAGGGAGGGCAGCACCCCAGCCCGAGGCTCCCACTTCACATCCTTAGTCCTGCACAGACTTGGGAGGCTCCCTGCAGTTTTCACACCACATCTCTCATCTTGTTCATCCATCTTTCCCTCACTATCTCCTCTTGGTGTGGGCCAAGATCTTAAACACCAGCTTCTGATTAAACACCAACTGCCATGAGGCAAGCACACACACAGAGCTTCACCCACAGCAACAAGGCTTTCTGGGCTCTCCACAAAGACAAACCCCATGGGAAACGGATGTGAGCGAGAGGTTAAACTTGGGAAAACAAGGAGGGGGGGAAACAGTGACAAAGTGGTGGTGGTTTCCCTGTGTCAGCACTCGGGGAGAGCTCAGCTGTGGAGTGGAAGAAGGGTGGAAGAATGTGGACAGTGCAATGACCTTTAGCTTCTGGCTGCACGTGCTAAAGAGCCTGTCAACCCTCCCCTGGGACCTCAGACCAGAAGCATTCAGCATTTAAAGCATGAATAGATGAATTGCTGATAGTGTATTGACATGTATAGTTGCAACGTGACCCTGAAGAGCTCCCACAGCATCCCCCTGCTGCAGACCCTCTCATGGCATGCACGACGGGCAGCAGCACCGGGAGGCAAAGAGGACACAGTGAGGAAACTCAGACCTTTCTAAAGGCTTCCTGCAGCCAAGAAAGCTGGGAACAGGGCCCCCAACTGCAGTCCCTGCTTGTACCAAGCACCTCGTTTACAGCCAGCTCCGAGGAGGGGCCAGGCCACGGTGCTGTGTGGAAATACAAATGGCTTGTGAAAATAGAAGCAGCCCCTGAGCAACAAGGGAAGATCCAGTGAGATGTAATGGAACCGATTCAAGCAGCCCTTGGCACCCTGACATCCCCTGATCCACCTCCACAAATAGAACACATTGGAGGGGCTGCAGGAGCACGGATTCATGTGCCAGCAGGTCACCAGCACATGTGGCAGCACATGACATGCACCTAGGAGGAGATTAATGGGCAGAGAACCTGCCTAACTACTCACCTACCTAATGCACCTGGTTACAGCAAACAGCACTTCCCCTCAATCACTGCTCGGATCCTGTTCCAGATCAGCGCACGCCACGCTCCTGGGGAAAAAGACTCCTCCGTGCCTGGCTCCATCTGTAACAGCACTTTGGGAAGGGCTGTCCCTGTGCTGACAGTGATGCCAGCCCCAAACCCTCTTGCCAAGTGCACCTGCATGCACGTGTGCCATGTGTGCCACGCAGGAGAGCCACCGAGGCAGCGCAGGCTCCATCCGTGTGTGCTCGCTGCTGTCTCCCTGAAGCTGGAAGCAGCTACAAGTCTTTATCAGCAATTACAAGAACATCCTGGCTGGTTTTGCAGCGCTCCCCCCCCAAGCAGCAGGATTTCTACTGCCCAATTAGTAGTTCAAGTTACTATTTAAAGAATGACAGCTTCGGCTGCCTTGGTAATCTTTTATGTCAAGCTCATCGCTGGGATTTGTTCAGGCTCTTGCTGGAACATTTAAAGTCATCCCTTCTCCCAAATTAAGTGCTGTAGGTTCCAAGAGAGGGTCAATCATTAACTACTCTTTACTGACCTCTTCCAATCCCAAGCATACAGCAGTGGAATGAGCCTGGCTTTCTGCAGCACTGCCTGCCATCTCGCCCAGCACAGAGGAGGCTTCATCTCCTTTCATGGATCACACTGAGACAAGCAGAGAAGTCACCTCCAGGCTCCATGGCAATAGCTCTGTGGGGGACAGCCTCACTTTCCTCTTTGATTTTAAAGCGGGTAGAGAAATAAATCAGGACCAAACAAACTGGGAGCATTGGTTAAAATAAAGTCACAGTGAAAGACATGTGCAAACAACTGATCTGCAGCCTGCCCACAGAAGAACATGTTTTCTCCTCTCAGGATGGTGTCATACTTCTGGGAACTGGGAGGAGATGTTCTTGCTTTGTACCACTGCAAACACTATGTATTCGGGTGTCCCTCCCTGCCTGCCCCATCCACACGGACCTCTCTTCGCACCCAGATGAAAGCCTCTATAATGGAGCTAAACGCTGTTAAACTCATCCTCTCTCCAGCTGTGGTTTCACTTTGCACCTTCTCATGCAGCTCCAATAGCACCGACAGCTGCTGCTCAACACAGTGTGTTTCCTGCACCATGAGCATTTACCACGTTCACTCTTTTCCTGTTTACAGGACCACATGCACAGCCTGTCCACGTACCTTGACAGCTTGGAAGGGACCTTCACACTGCGAGTTCTCCACCACAGATTACATCTGTAACAGCAAGGAGCTGCAAGGAAGCACCTATGCCTGTGTTAAGGCATGTTCCCCTGCTGTAAGTGAATTAGCTTATCATTCCTTGGGTTTTCTGCAGCCCTGTCTTAGAGAAAGGTCCCTGTTCAACCAGCTCTTTATCTCTGCTCTTTGTGAGCAGGGTCAAGATTGCTTTTCTTTTAAACAGTCTCAAACCCAAGCCTCAGGGCTCCTTAATCCCGGTAACATCACAAAACCCTGACCAGATCAAGTTCCCCAGCAGCTGATAAGGCCCAAATCCTGATAAAGACTGCGGAATCAGCACTTGCACCAAGGAAAAGATGCTGCTTCAGTTGGTTAAAGGCCAAGCTGTAGCATAGTAAAGTTAAAATGGGAACAAAGTGCCACAGACAGCCTCTTTGTCAGCAGATTTCAAGCATACTTCTTGAGATGTGACCAAACCTGCCACCAGAGTGGGTACAACCCCCCCTCAAACCCTGTTGCACAACTGCTTTAAAGGTATGTGTTGTTTGGATTTGGATTTTTCCCTAGGTGTCCATCTCCACCCTCACCCAAAGTTAAGAGCTTGGCAGACCCAACGTGTTTGCACATTGGCTGAGTAAAATCCAACAGGAGCCCAGGGCAGGCAGGGGAAGGGGGAGATTTAGCAGGAAGGGGGGGGATTCACCAGGAGGACAAGGAGCCCTTCATGGACCACAGCCTCTTTCTGGGCAGCTGCTGCTACCTTCATAGAAGGGCCTGCAGAAGGGGCAAGGTCTAGTTCTCTCTTTCACTGGAAGGCACCACAAAGTGTAAGAGCTTTTGCTGACGAGTGGAAAGCTCTGCCAAGAACCTTTGGCTCATTAGGAAAAGCCTCTTTTTGTTGTTGTTGTTTTTGCAATTCTTACATGCACAACAGAATTAGCAACAAGTGCCCAAAGGCTCCTGGTTATAATGTGTTTGCATCAAGCTTCAAGCCAAGACTACGGGATTCCATGGGTTATACTAAGAGAGGCAACCACTTGGGCCACCCTCATCCCAGCCAAGGTGAAACTCAGCTGGGTGCTGGTCATTCAGTGACCACTGCAGGGCAGCTGCATTCCCCACACATGGAGCTAAGACTCTTCCCTACCAGACCACTGAGTTTATTACATTGAGGACAAAAAGAGAGGAAGGAAAGCGAGTGAAGCAGGGATGAAGGAGGGAACCGGTGTAACTGGTCCTCCATGCTCCTCCCAA